TGCCGCCTGCAGCGCCGGCATCCCAAATGAGCACCAGTTCCTGTCCCGGCTGCTCCACTTCCGGTCCAGCTCCCTGCTGATGCACCTGGGAAAGCAGTGGAAGATGGACCAAGTGCTTGGGCCCCTGCACCCACGTGGGAGACCCGGAAGAAGCTCCTGGCTCCTGGCTTCTGCCTGGCCCAGCCCCGACTGTTGCGGGTATCTGGGGAGTGAATCTGTGGATGGAAGACCTCTCTCTCTCTCCCTCCCTCTCTCTCTGTCTGTCTCCCTCTCTCTGACTCTGACTTTCAAATAAATAATCTTTTAAAAATTATTTTGTGCCAAAATAAACTAATTTTCTAGCTTCATTAACTGCCAAGGCCCCTGCCCACAAGCCCTCTGGAGCAGTAATGCCCGTGTCTGCCCACTGCCCACTGCCGCCCAGATGCCCATCAGGGACACCAGGTGCCTGTCAGCCTCTCAAGGGTGCTCCGAGGTCCCAGTGAGAGACTCAGGGGCATCCACGGACATAGCTGGGCCCTGGTGGGTGCTCCCTAGGCAGCCAAGATGGTCCTTGGCCGTCCCTGATTTGGGGGAGGAAGGGGGACAATTCAGGGCAAGTAGGGCAGGAGCTACAAGGAGAGGCCTGGGTGGGGCTGCTGGGCAGGTGTGAGGCCACTTCCTCCTGGGGGGAGAGGGGAAGACTCCCTGGAGGCGGTGGCTCCATGTCTCTTGTTCTTGAGTGAGCCCCCGCCCAAGCCTGGGTGCATGACCTAGGGTCAAGCCCCTCTCCTCCCTGGGCATCTGCAGTGGGGCGGTGGAAGAACAGACAGCACTCCCTAGAGGGGCCGCAGCTCTGACCCCTGCACTCGGGGACTCACCCGAAGCTCTCCCAGCCCCAGCCCTGCAGTACCCAATCCTGCCACTGGGCGGCAACAAGGAGCCAAACAGGAGTTAGCCCCTTCCAGCTGCGAGGCCGGGGCCTCCCCGGACCCCTCCCCAGCTACCAGCCGGCTCTCCAGGGAACCAGAGCAGCCAGCGTCCTGCCCACTTCTCAGATGGGGACGCCTAAGCTCCTGACTTCCAGGAGGTCACACAACCAGGCCTGGCAGAGCCAAGTCCCCAGTGCTGCCTCCCTGCCACTGTGCCCACGGGGAGGATTCGGGAGAGCCGGGTGGCGGTCGACGGCCCCTCGCCCCCGCTGTGCATCCCTGGGCACCACACACGCCTGCTCTGAGCTGCGGCTGGTGCCAGGGCCTGGCAGGGGGCGAACGCGGAGCCGAAGCCACTGCTGTGTTCCCGGCAGACCTGCACCCGGGAGAGCAGAGACAAGGGGACCTCAGCAGCCCCTGGTGCAGGCTGGGGCATGAGGGAGGCAGAGCCGTGCCCGGCACTGGCACCAGCCCTGCCTTCTCCACCGTGTGCCGGTGCCCACACCTCCCGCCGGACCCTGAGGTCGCGGCCCCTGCCCCACTTCTGTCCCCCTCTCCCGCTGTGCCCCCGCTGCACCACACACTGTTTACGAGAACCTAGCGACCATTTTTATTTCTCTTTTGTCTCCCTCCCTCCAATCTCCCAGGCAGAGACGGCAGCTCTGCAAGAGGAAAAAGCACACAAAGGACAGTGGGTGCCCGCCGTGGGCCCCCCCACGCAGAAGCACCCATGGCCACGCGTGCACGTGCACACACACACACACACCTCCCCTGGCTGGCGCCCCCAAGAATGCTGTTGTTATTTGGGAAGTAATTGAAAATGTCGATCTCCATTCTAAAGGATAAACAGGGCAGAGGGATGCGGGGAGCAAGAGCGAGAGCGAGAGTGAGAGAGAGAGAGAGAGAGGAACCAGAGGCTAGACACCCACGGGAGAAGGACGCAGAGAGCCGGGGAGAGAGACAGAGGGGCAGCTGTCCACCCCCAGGGCCAGGAGCTGTGGCCTCCCCCCAGCCTGCCCCCAGCACCCTCCCCTGCAATGGCGGGGCAGCAGCTGCTGTCCCAGCCCCTGGGGTGGGCACCTCGTGCCGGGAGCAGTGTCCATGTGGGTGACATTTGGCTCACCAGAGGTGTGCACCCCAGCGGGAGGGCCGGGAGCCGCCCCCTTCCCCCCACTGCCCCCTCTGAGTGTGTGCATGTGTGTGTGTGCGTATGCACGTGTGCGTGGTGTTCTCATGGTTTGGATGCCTGACCGCAGTGGGGGAGGGGCTGCCTGAGCCTGGGTGTGCAGGGGTGGGTGCATAGGTGATGCGGGGCATGGCGCAGGGTAAGGTGTGTGGTGCGTTGTGCCATGAGTCCCGTGTGCGTGTGCAGGGCTGGGATCGGGGGTGAGCGTGTGGAGTAACATGTGACATCTGCCTCTGTCTGTGTGTCTTGGAGCCCTGTCCCCTTCCCAGAGGTCTGTGTGTGCTGCCTCCTGGCGCTGCTCAGAGCCCAGGGCCACCGCAGCCCCAGCTCCTAGGGCAGCCCCTTTGGGGTCTCCCCAGCCCCCATCCAGGGTCTGGGAGGGGCACGTGTCTACAGCTCCACCAGCAGGCCCTGCTGGGGTGATTCAACATGGGGGCCTCCTGCCAACCCCAGAGAGAAGGGCCCCGTCAGGCCTTGAACCTCGCCCACCCCCGGGGGGCTGCTCCTCCCATCCCCCGGGGGCTGCTCCTCCCGCCCAGCCACCCTCTGAAGCCTCAGAGGCCGGTCTCCAGGTGAGGACCCTCTCCCCAGACCTCTGGGGCAGCCAGAGCCCGGCCGAGGGCAGGAGCTCGGGAAACCGGTGCTGACGCAGAGGTCAGGGCTGAGCGCCTGGCAGCACAGGTCCACCTGCAAGGCTCAGCCAGGGGCCTCCTGCGAGGTCAAGGCCCAGCCAGACCTTTCGCAGGCCACCTCCTGGGGTCACCACCAGAGTCAGGGAATCCCAAAGGGAATGAATCTGTCACCCTGGGGGCCTCGCTCATCTTCACCCCCAAACCTCTTTCTGAAGCCTCAATCCTCCTCCTGTCCTTGACCCTGGTCCCACACTGGGCCTTGACCCTCGTCACACCCTGAGCCCTGACCCTGGTCCCACACTGAGCCCTGACCCTGGTCCACACTGAGCCCTGACCCTGGTCCACACTGAGCCCTGACCCTGGTCCCACACTGAGCCCTGATCCCGGTCCACACTGGGCCTTGACCCTGGTCCACACTGAGCCCTGACCCTGGTCCACATTGAGCCCTGACCCTGGTCCACACTGGGCCTTGACCCTCGTCACACCCTGAGCCCTGACCCTGGTCCACACTGAGCCCTGACCCTGGTCCCACACTGAGCCCTGATCCTGGTCCACACTGAGCCTTGACCCTGGTCCACACTGAGCCCTGACCCTGGTCCCACACTGGGCCCTGACCCTGGTCCCACACTGGGCCTTGACCCTCGTCACACCCTGAGCCCTGACCCTGGTCCCACACTGGGCCTTGACCCTCGTCACACCCTGAGCCCTGACCCTGGTCCACACTGAGCCCTGACCCTGGCCCCACACTGAATCCTGGTCCTGGCCCCACACTGAGCCCTGACCCTGGTCCCACACTGAGCCCTGACCCTGGTCCCACACTGGGCCCTGACCTTGGCCCCACACTGAGCCCTGACCCTGACTACACACTGAGCCCTGATCCTGGCCCCACACTGAGCCCTGATCCTGGTCCCACCCTGAGCCCTGACCCTGACTACACACTGCGCCCTGACCCTGGCCCCACACTGAACCCTGGTCCTGGTCACACACTGGGCCTGAACCCTTGCTTAGAAAGAGGCTATTAATTTGTCACATGACCAAGTTACTCCCAGGTCTGGGCCTTGGTCTCCCAGCTGTTTCAGTGAGGGTGGCCTGGGCCAGGCGCCGCCTCAGGAAGCCCCTAGTTGGTGGCTGGCCTGCATCTCCTGCCCAGCGACACAGGGAAGCATCGGCAGCTGCCACCTGTCAGCCCCACCCCCACCTGCCACTAGCTGCCCAAGCATCACTAATTTTTGCAGCCGCCGTGATAAATGGCGTTGTCGGCAAAATGACATCTTTCTAATCTACTGCAAGACAGATGGGTCCCAGGCTCTGGGGCGCTCTCTGGAGCCTGCCCAGACCGGCGGTGCTGGGCAGTGGGGAGGCAGGGCTGGGGAGGACGGGCCAGGGGCAGGGACGGCTCCTGCGGGGTCTCTACAACCTCGTTTGTTGTAATATTCCAGAGATCCACTCCGCTCCTCTCTGCCCGGAGCTAGGTCGTTGTCAGTTCCAAGCTGGCGACCGCCCAGGCCGCCGAGCCTGGACAGAGGGCACGGGCCCTGGGCTGGTCCTTGCCTCCTGCCCTGTCTCCCTCTGCTCGGGGGCTGCCTGAGTCGTGGCGCCTGGGGCTCCTGCTCGCCGGGACCCTTCCCCCAGCGGACCCCACCCTCCCTGCCACCCTCCGAGCCATCCTCAGCTTCCTCCTGGCCGTGTCTCACGCTGGCCTCAGGCGGCTGGATGAGGCAGGACCACCCCCCACCCCCGCCGTCTCCCTGTGGACAGCACAGAGGGCACCAGGGAGTGGGGGGAGCTGGGGAGCCGGATGCCAAGAGTGACAGAAAGACAAAGCCCTGTTCCAGAGACCCCAGCCCCCAAGCCACCAACAAAGAGGCTGGCTCCCGTTGCCCAGTAGCAGGAGGCTAGAGCGGGTGGGGGCTGGTGGGCGCAGGCTTGGGCTTCACATCCGAGGCAACACTGCCCCCTCCTGGCTGGATCAGGCTCTTCCTCTGATGAGCACTGCCAGGCCAGGCTCTTGGAACGAGGGACAGTGACAGGCAGAGGGCCCCTCCTGGCTGGCTGAGGGCTGTGCATCCCGGCCACTCTGCTCTCACTGTATCCCTCTGTGGGCAGAGCCCCAGGCTTCTCCTAAAGGTGGCCCCGTCTGGTCCTGAGAGTCACCCCCACCCCCCACACTGGCTCCAGCCCCTGTCCCTGCAGCCTTGGGGCCCTTGCAGCTTCCACACCCACCTTTGCCCCCCCCACAAACACTATCCCCTCTGCTCTTGGGCCCCCTGCATCCCCGACCAGAACAACCTCCTGCCACACCCCAACGTGGCTGCTCCTCTCTTGGGTGCTGGCCGCTGCACGGTTCTGGAACTGGGGGGCACAGGAGCCTCTTCTGAGCCTGCTCCCCTTTGCTGTCCAAAGGGCGACCCTGGGGCCTGGAGTTGTGCAGGCCACGCAGCCTACGCTGGCAGAGTTAGGACGGGCACTCGGCACTCCGGAGCCCCGGCCCAGGGCTCCCTGAATGTCACACAATGCTTCCCGGGGGTGATCCAGGATGGGCCCTGCTCCCCAAAATCAGAGACCTCTCCCCCCACCCCCGTCTCCTGGCGTGCACCCAGAGCAGGGCCCCAATGAAGCAGAGCGAGTGTTTGCACAAAATGCAAGAAAATATTTATCTAACACCTTCTGTGTGCTGGCCACGCAGCAGGGACCAGCCCTGCTCTGTGGCTCAGTCGAGTGTAGAAAAATAAGCTCTAGGGGGCAGGGAGGGACTGGATAGCGGGTGGCCTCAGTCGCGGATGTGCACCACTAGGGGGCACAGGTGGGCCGAGTGCCGCACGCCCATGCTGTAGGCCGGCGTGCGGGGCTTGTGCACCGTCACCTGCTGCACCTCGTGGGAGCCGGGGCCCGGCCGGGACGTGTGGTCCAGCGGGTAGGCGAAGCGCCCAGCCATGCTGTAGACGGGGCTGCGCTTCTGGTAGGTGGACGGCTCCGGCCGGGCGTGCACAGCGGGCCCAGGGCCTCCCGCCACATCCTCCTTGTAGAACCAGTTCTTGTCCAGGGCGGCCAGGCTGTAGCAGGGTGCAGCCCGGTACACGGGGGTGTGGGGCCCCAGCGAGAGGGGCAGCTGGTACCTGGTTGGGAGCCGGGTTGGGGTCCATCACTCGGTACGGGCACCGCTGGCCGAAAGCATACTGAGGAGCCCTGCGTTCCCCCAGCGGGGGGCCCTGGTCACGCTGATAGTGGCAAGGCGCCGGGGTGGGGCTCAAGCCTGCAAGTGAGCAAAGGGAGGGAGGGTCTTAGGGGAGGGGCCCATGGTGGTGGGGGGGGGCAGAGGGGGCTGGCCAGGGAGGGAGCTGAGGGCTTGGCTGGCCCTGTGTGATTGCAGTGCGTGGCCTCAGAGGCTGACCGTGGGTTAGAGGGTCGCTTAGGGCATCCTGACTTCCTGATTTTGCTGCTGTGGTCAACCCACAAGTGGGGGGTGGGGCGGTGGCCGGCGGGGCCAGCTGCTGCTAGGGACGCCCACATCCCACATCCAAGCACCAGGGACTGAGTCTCACCTCTGCTTCTGACCCAGCTCCCTGCTAGTGCACCTGGGAAAGCAGCGGAAGATGGCCCAAGTCGCTGGGTCCCTGCCACCCATGTGGGAGACCCGGATGGAGTCCCTGGCTCCTGGCTTTGGCCTGGACTAGTGGGGAGTGAACCAGCAGATGGAAGATCTCTCTCTCCCTGTCTCTGTCACTCTTCCATGCAAATAAATAAATCTTTTGAAAAGTACAAATCAAGCCTGTCAGTGCCACCTGAGCGTCACCCTGGGCTGCCAGCACCCTGACGTTGTCCCTCTGACAGCACCAAAAACACCCAGAGGCACCTGCGGAGTGTATTCATCGAGGAGACAGCGCAGGAGGGGGGACGTGAGCCCGGCGCCGGCTTCGGGACACTGATGGCAGCATCGCAGCCTTGGCGTCTGGAGGTGACACTGCAGGGCGAGGCCAGCACCCACGGGGACGCCGGACCCTGCTCAGGACCGAGGGAGGCCCCCGTCCCAGCATCCCCCCCACCCCCCAGCCCCATCTTACGCAGGTTGCAGATACGCCCCGCCATGGGGACCTGCGGGCAGCTGGACATTCCAAACCGAGTTATACTGGGATCCAAGGAATAGCTGGGCCCAGGGCTGCACCCGTCCATGACCCCTGCAGGGCAGCCCGGGAGAGGCCGCGTCAGCTCCGGCGAAGCTCCCCACCACCACCCCCTGCCAGGAGCAAGGGCTCCCTCAGGTCCCCCCGGCTCCTGGGGGCTTGGGACCTCTGATTCCCTCGTCTGGGAGACGGGACTTTTAACCCGAATCCACCCTCCCCAGGACTTGTGCAGAGGAGACAAAGTGACAGCTGTGGCAGCTCGCTCAATACCCCACCCACAGGGCCTCGTGCCAGGGGGAGTGACAGCCACCGTGGCCATGGCCAGTACTGAGACGGGGCCCGGCCAGGGCCAGGGGGCTCCCACACCGAGGGGCGCACATCTCTCCATGGCGGCCACCTCCACCGCAGACCCCAGATGCATACACCTTGCCCCTGCTCAGCCTCTGTTCCTGCTGGCCCTGGCCTGTGGCCCAGTCCTGCCATGGCCCTCTGCTCTCGCGCTCCCAGGGACTTCTGGGCCACCCGGGAAGCTCCAGGAGCCACAGTCCCCACCACGTCCCTGCCCCACTGCCCAGCCACTGGGCACACAGCCAGGGTGGAAGTCCAGCTGGAAAGCAGACCCTGCCCCGTGTCCAGGGCCCCTTGGGAGACCTGGCTCCAGTGGGGTGCGGGGTTGGGGGGTCCCGCTGAATGGCCTGTACAGGGAGCGAACCCCCCTCCCTGCACAGCCTGCTGGCTTCCTTCTGGACCCAGGGGCCCAGCTGAGTGTCCCCGCCAGGGCCCGGCCTCTCCCTGCCCCACACCCTCCCAGGGATGCCGGTGGCCGAGGGCACTCACGCTTCTCCGAGTGCCGGGTGTGCAGCGTGTATGCTGGCTCTCGGAACATGGAGGCGTCGTGGTCCAGGTAGCCCGTGCAGGACGGCCGCAGGTACTGGGCAGGCCCTGGGCCTGGGAGGACGGACAGGGGCAGCCCTCAGCCTGGGCACATGGGAGCAGGGTCCCGGCTCCTGCTGACATCACTGGGCCACAGAGCCCAGGGCCCACGGGCAGGGGAAGCAGGGTGCCCAGGCCAGCTGCCGCTCCCCGGGGACGGAGGAAGGTGGGAGGCACCAGGGAGCATTCGTTTTGCTGCAGCCCCCCCGCTCCCCCATAAGGTGGGCACTCTTTCTCCCAACTTACAGACAGCCCTAGGCTTAGAAATAGCCCACAGGCCCGGCGCTGTGGCGCAGTGGGTTAAGCCATTTCCGAGCCAGCTCCCTGCTACGGTGCCTGGGAAAGCAGCCGAGGATGGCCCAAGTGCTTGGGCCCCTGCACCCACATGGGAGACCTGGAGGAAGCTCCAGGCTCCTGGCTTCAGCCTGGCCCAGCGCTGGCCGTTGTGGCCATTTGGGGAGCAAACCAGCGGATAGAGAATCGCCCTCTGTGTGTGTATGTGTATGTATAACTTTGCCTTTCAAATAAATAAATAAATCTTTTAAAAACAGCTACCATTCTACCCCAAGTTGCACGAACTGGTAATGCCAGAACTCTGAGATAAACAGCCAGCTGGACCCAGGCTTTGATCAGTGCGCTCCAGCCGCTCACCCCATAGTAAGAACTAGTCACAAGTCAGACTGAGAAGTGGAGAAGGTGAAGTGGCCTACAGGCGCCGGTCTTTCTCCAAGCCCGTGCTCCCGCTGTCCCCGTGGGCAGGGATTCCAGGAGGCTCCGAGTGGAGTGTGAAGGGGCCAGGAGGGGCTCCACGCCCTGGGCCAGGCCGGCTCTCACCTTTGATCATGGCCAACACCACGGGGGTCTGCTTCACCCCCAGCCGCGCGGGCGGCGGCGCCTTCTTCTCTGGCTGCTGCGCACAGCTCCCGGCCCCCTTACACGGCTTCATGGCGGAGGCCAGAGAGAGGCCCGCAGCAGGAGCTGAGCAGCAGGGCAGGCGCCGGGGGCGCCGGGGGAGCCCAGGCCCCTCTGCCCGCTCCCCGTGCCCCGCCCCAGGCCCGGCCTCCGGCCTGAGCAGCTGAGGCTGTCTGGGGTGCCGCCAGCGCAGGACCTAGCCGGCGGGAGCTGGGGATGACATCACGGCAGAACTTGGACTGTGAGAGCCACAGTGTTTATTTCCCCAGTTGCCGTGGCGCCTGAGCCGTGGAGCAGGAATTGAGCGGAACCGTGAGCCCAGCTCGCGGGCGCCACCGCCAAGCAGGCTGAATAGGTTAGGGGGTGGGGGTGACGGGACACCTGCTAGCGCCTGGCACCCAATGGGTGCCCAACAGGTCTGCTCTCTCTCCCCAGCCTCCAGACAAGCCCTCCTCCCTGTCAAAGTCTGCTTTCCCCTTGGGAAAGGAGCCAGCCAACTATTTCACACTAAAGTGTGAGTGTCTGACAGCCCCTCCCCAGGCTCCTCCTCCGAGGTGTTATGCCCTTAGCAAAGGGAGGCAGACAGAGGACAGGAGGGAGATGCTGAGGCCAGGGGCCACTTCCTGTGCCTCTGGACAAGAACCCCCCACTGGCAAGAGGAGTAGGGAAAACCCCTTGAAACGCTGGAGATCTCAGCCCCAAGACCCCAGGGGGAGCCCCCCGCCCCCCCCCCCCGCCCTGAGCCACGACTGGACCTGAGCCACCCCGCAGAGGGTCAAGGGTTGGCCAGAGTCTCCTCTTCCCCCAGCAGCGGGGCTCCCTGCTCACCGCCTCTGGTCTCACGGACACCGAGCCAGGCTCTGATCTCACCCCGCCCGGCAGATACGACAGTGACCCGCACACACACCAGCTGAAGCCCCTCAGAGACGGAGGCGCAGACAGGGCAGGGTCCTGGTCCGGAGGCGGCAGCAGACCCTCTGTGGCCCCCCATGGGGCAGGCAAGCCTTGGGGTGCAGCAGAGGCTGGGCGAGCCTGGCGTCGGCCCTGTCGGCTTTGCCCGCAGGCAGTGGCGCCCTGGTGGCCCCCCAGTGCTGGCAGAGGCCGGATCTGGGCCTGGGACCCCACTTCCTGGGGCAGGGTGTCTGCCCTGCTTCTCCCTGTGCTGTGCCTGCCTGCACCACCACCACCCCAAACCCCCAGTGCCCCTCTCTTCCAGCTTTGACCGTGACCCAGCCCGCCCCCAGCCCTCCCCTTAGCTGTCGCTCTGTCACCCACACCCAGAGTCCACAGCGGAGCGGGGACCCACACAGCATCTCCCCCGCGTCACCTGTACCAGCCCTCCAGCGGCCAGTGGCCAGGCATGCCCCTCGCCTGTGGTCCTGGCAGCCCAGGCTCACTCCTGGCCCCCACGCCGGGCGTTTTGGCCTCCTCTGGCCTCTCGGGTGCCAGACATGCTCCACGCCTCTCAGCCTTGTCTCTCACAGCCATCCTGGGCCCCCCACGCCCCCTCCCCCAGCCACAGCACCCCCTGCACCCCGACTCCAGCACCTGCCTTGCATATGTAGCTGGCTCTTACTAACTCCGCGAATGCCCCAGGTCTGCCTTGTCTGCCAGCATCAGGCAGCCAGCTACTGCTAAGGACAGCGCCCCGCCCCAGCACCCACAGTCACCCTCCTCTCCACGGACCCCTGCAGAGCCCTCCGCCTGGGCTGGGGCTCCTCCCTCCCAGAGCCGGCAGCACCTGCTCTCCCTGGTCCTGCTGGCTTCCCGGGTGCCCTCCTCAATCGCCGCCTCTCCCGGCTCCTTCCTGTCCCCCCTCGGCCCTTCCCCCATCCCGCCGCCTCTTGGAGGCGCCCGCTCTCCCCGGCCTCTGCCTGTGCCTCCCGGAGGCTCAGGGCTCTGCCCCCAGCCGGCTCCGCCAGACTCCTCTTGACCTCCCCGTGACAACTGCCTCCAAGGGACACGGCCTCTCGGCCGCCCTGGACCCAAGAGACTGGCCACTGCCGCCCGCTCTCCACACCTCTCCTGGTTCCGGGAAGTGCCCCTGCTGGCCTCCCGCCCCTCGGCTGCCCCCGCAAGCACGGGCTCTCTGCCCGGCCCTCCCTCCTTGGCCTGACCCTTGGTGCTTGGGCAGCTGCAGTCCTGGCAAGCCCCACCTCAGCCAAGGGCTGCGAGTTAACCCCTCGAAGACGCCTCAAGTGGGTGTCCGTGGCCCTCCCGGCAGGGTGTATCCCTTCTGGGTGTCCCCGTCATGGGTGCATGCTCTGAACCCCATCATGAGAAAAGCAGACACATACACAACCCCATTCAGCCGACAAAGTGGCGGGCCTGGGCCAGGCTGAGAGATCCACGTCCCGCATCAGGGTGCCTGGGTTCAAACCCCGGGCCCGGCTCCAGACTCCAGCTTCCAGCCCAGAAGGCAGTGGTGACAGCTCAAGTAGCTGGGTCCCTGCCACCCACGGGGGAGAACTGGCTGAGTGCCTGGCTCCTGGCCTTGACCGTGGCCCCACCGGGGACCGTCGTGGGCATTTGAGGAGTGAGCGCTGTTTCTCTGTCTGTCTCTCTACCTCTCAAATAAACCATTCTTTTTTAAAAATTCCTGGCCCAGACTTGCCGAAGATGGCTGTGACACACAGGAAAGAGACGCACAGAGGCCCAGTGGTTGCAGCGTGGACGCCGGCATCTTCTTTTACTAAAAGGGATATTATCGAGCAAATGGGCAAAACCGGACGAGAAAAAAAGTCTGCGGTTTAGATCAAAGTGTTGGGTGCGCCGGGTCGTCCCTGCTTCTGATCACCGCAGGTGGTTATCGGAGAGAAGGCACCAGCGCCTGGGGGAGAGGCACACTCCGTCTGCAGCGAGCTTCGCTTCACACGCACGCAGGAGGGCGTTTAAGGATGGTGGAATAGCAACACTTGGGAAATGCAGACGGAGAGCACGTGGGAAACACTTGCAGCCGACTTGCGGCTTCTTTGAGACTCTGAAATCAAGTCAAAGGGAAAAGGGAGACTGCTGGCTTCTCAGGGATTGGTCCAGGCTTTTCATGTGCGCCGCCTGCCTCTCTCCTGGCAGCCTCATCTCCTCCATGAGATGGACCACCGGCCACCCAGCCGTTCCCCAAAACACATCCCTCTTGGGCCAGGAACAGGAGGCCCCCGCCAGCAGTCTGGCTCTTGCACAGGTCACCTCTGCTCTGCAGAGACTGGGCTCGCTCCAGACACTGCCCGGTGCTTATCCTCCTGGCACCAGGTCACTCCACGTGCCCCCACCAGCCAGCCCCCATGTCCCTGGCCCCCAGCACGGAGCCTGACACACGACCCACGCTGGAGTGAGTGAAGTGGTTGGCCCGTTGACCGACCAAGGAAACACCATTCCTCTTGTCCTGTCCCAGGCACACGCCAGTCTGCTTGCAGCCCCGCACACAGCCGTCTCTTCTGCCACTGCTCAGGGTCTGGGTCAAGACGGAATCTGGGAAGGGAGTTGGCATTGTAGCTCAGCGGGTTAATGTCCTGGCTTGAAGCGCCAGCATCCCATATGGGTACCGGTTCGAGTCCCGGCTGCTCCACATCCAATCCAGCTCTCTGCTGTGGCCTGGGAAAGCAGTGGAGGATGCCCCAAGTCCTTGGACCCCTGCACCCACATGGGAGACCCGGAAGAAGCTCCTGGCTCCTGGCCGTTGAAGCCAACTGGGGTGTGAACCATGGGATGGAAAATGGTTCTCTCTCTCTCTCTCTCTGCCTCTCCTCTGTATGTAACTCTGACTTTCAAATAAATAAATCTAAAAAAAAAAAAAAAAAGGCAGAATCTGGGGGTGCGATGGAACAGGCACATCAGCCTGGGGGTCTGCAGTGCCCATGGGCCACAGCATGGGAGGGGACCCAGGAGCGAGGGCCACAGGGGACCTCCTGGAAGGCTGCCTGCCACAGGTCTCCGTCGTCCAAGGCCATCGCTAGCCAAGGGGACCGGCAGGAGCCCAAGCCCATGCTGCCTGTCCTTGGTAAGGGCCGGCCCGGGAACCCTCCACGTGGGCCCACGGCAGCCTCTTGGGAGTCATCTTGCCTCTGCAAAGAGAGCTCCCAGGTGTTGTGCAGAGAGCAGGACCCTGGCATAAACAGTGGCCATCGCACAGCCCCTCACCCACCCCACAGGAGGCCACCCCTGCCCTCCGGCCCACCCCACCACGCCGGTCCTGCCCCTGCAGGCGGGGCACGGGGGGCAGAGAGGTGCAGAGCCTGGCATGAGGTCACACAGAAGGGGCTTGGAAAGACGGTGGCCATCTGGCTCCTAACCCCGCATTCTTTCCGCCGCCCTGCCCAGCCGCCAGCTCAGACCCACTCCTGCCGCCCACCGCAGGCCCCGGTCCCAGCTCTGAGCGCGGATGTCTCATTCTTCCTTGGGGGCCCCCACCCCGGCCCCCAAGAGTGCCTGACCCCGAACAGGGAGGGTCACATGTTTCTCTGAGTGTCCACTCCCCCTCCCGGAGGCTAACGCCGCAGGCAGCGGATGTGCACCCGGGCAGAGGAGCAGGGGTTAAAGCAAGAACTAATATTTAGAAATCCTGGTCCCAGAGAGTCGGCTGCGGCCAGCTGCTCACAGCCACCGGAGCCACAGGCCCTTGTGGACGTGGGGTGGCGGAGGAGTGCTCACTGCAGGGAATAGAGGCTCTCTCTCTCTCTCTCTCTCTCTCTCTCTCTCTCTCTCACACACACACACACACACACACACACACACAGCCCCTGTTTTCCCGGTACAGCTCAGGCGTGGCTCAGAGCCTGTCCCCAGCCAAGGCAAAGCCTTCCCCGGCCCCTGGTCCACTACCAGTTCCCCAGGGTGGCAAACACAACTTCTCCGCTCCCGAATTGGGTCATTGCTAGGACTCACTGCTCCTGGCTGCCTGAACTTGGAGAGGCCTCCCGGGTGCCTCAGCCAGAAGCAGGGGCAGGACCACTCCCAGCAGAGGCCCCGCCCCAGGCAGCTCCCAGCCACAAGCCTGCAGGGAGCCAGCACCCAACGCACACGCCCCCTCGGGCAGCAGTGGCACAAGCCCGTGCCAGCCGCCAGCCACAAGCAGGATGGTTGTGGCCACAGGCTCCTCGGGTGTGGCCGGGGCCATCGGGCAGGGCGGGGCAGAGCCACAGCTACTCCCTGTGCCCGCACTGTCCGCCCAGGCTGCACGGGGACCAGAGTGCCCAGGGGGTCCTGGCCAGTAGGCTTAGCCAAACTCCA